GGAAGAGTCTTAGTTCTGATTAAACAACTCCAGCTTTTATACTTTCCTTCACTATTTTTTTCCCAAGGCACGTGGCACTGGGCTACACCACTCTCTTTACCCAGTTTCTGTTGAATCCTGGGGAAAGGGGTACAGGTGGGGTTGTCTATTTGCTGGCTATTTGAGGCTTGTGTTATTATCTATCCGTGGTAAGACATTATGTGGTACATTTTCAAATCTCTCATCTCCAAAATCAAAATGACCCTTAAAAGAAATTTTTCATTCAGAATTTGGGTTTATTTCGATCTTTTGAAGAGTGCCATTGAATTTCCTTACTTAACCAGACATAACAATAATGATGCCACATGTGGCACCCAAAGGACTCTGAACTACTTATTCTCATCCCATTCTCAATGGGCCCATTTATAACTTGCTTTTTGATTGATACCTATCAACTTTCCTGATTGGTAACAGACTTGCAAGTGAAGATAACCTGAGTTAGGGAATGGCAAAACAGTAATTACAGGAAAATAGTGGAAGTGATTCTTGACATGACAGGAGCATTTCACAGACGTACATTTTCATAATTAGATTCTGCTTTTCAAGTAGACATAAGTGAACACTAAATTGAAAATGCTCCCTTTCTCTCAACATCACACAACAAGGAACAAAAGGATTCAGAAAGGGTAAAGATAATTTTATATGAGATATTCAGAATTTAGATTTAACTTTTTCTCTTTTATAGCCTAAAATAAGAAGACACAGGAAAACAATAAGTTCCCCTTATTGTAAATGTGTCTTACATTAATTCTGTACAAACTCCAGGAACTTTCTTCATAATAATTGTCCCAGTGCCGCCTGGAACAGTTTTGCTGTCCAACATGTTGAGCGGTGTGCCTGGCAAGTAGGACACTCCTACTTCTGCCAGCTCCTGCTGTGTGACCAGCATCAATATTTGTATACACTTCATTTTCTGCCACCGCTATCGCTTGCTCTGGCCCACACAAGCCACAAAAGTGGAGATGAACTTGGCAAAAACGTGTCACTCACACTGAATTCTAAGAGTCAGTATTGTGGAATTTTTAAACAAAAAAAGATGGTAGTAAACTACACACTACAGAATCTAATTCTACCAAAAATGCCTACCTGGTTGGATCAATATTAAGAAAACATGGAACCATACAATAAAACACTTATAATCCAATAGAATATAATGAGCTCTAAACAAAAAATCATCAATATTAACTGACATTATCAAATATAACTATAATAACACATGGGAATGCTAAAGCAACTGCTAATAACAAATACATAAGAAAACCAATTTTAGAAATATAATTGATCAAAAAAAAATCTGCTACATGGGTTTCAGTGTTCAACCACACACTCTTATAATTTCTTTGCTTTTGATTATTACATAATGAGACATTTCACAGCACACACATACTTGATGTGCTACAATTTGTATAAGGAAAGGACTTTTTTTTAAGATTCATGAAGTTCTAAATATTTTATTGATTTCTCAATGGACTGATTTGACAGACACAGAGAACAAGAGAGTGTGTAAGAAAGAGAAGACTCCCATCTGCATCTGCTGGTTCACTCCCCAGTACCCACAATTGCCAGGGGTGGGCTGGGCCAAAGCCAAGACCAGAGAACTCTACCTGTTCCTCCCATATAGGTGGCAGGGACCCAATTACTTGAGCCATCATTCCTGGTTCCCAGGTACACAAAAGCAAAAAGCAAGTCAGGAGCACAGCCAGAATGTGAACCCTGGCCGTCGGATGCCACATTGACCAGTGACTTCACAGTTAGGTTAAATACCTGCCCCAGGGACTTGATTCTTATCAGATCATATAACCAAATAAACAACTGGTTTACAAGGTAACTCAAAACAAAAAAATCACTTCCCCAGGTGACCCACAATCTGAGTGATCTGGCACTGAAGAGCAAGAGCTACAGGGTCACTCGCTCAAATGACGGTAATAACAGTGATGCACACAGCAAAGACATGTCCACACACTGGAACCTCCAGGGAATGCCACACACAATCACTCTCCAGCTTGAGAAAAATGGCCAACAGCTGGAACCCAGAGCTTCTGACGCCACCAACAGTACTCTCTCTCCATGGCTGCCCTAAGTGTTTTCCCCTTTTGAGATCCAAAGATGTCATCAGTTGATAAGCCTATCAATCACATTGATGCCACTGTCCAGAGAGGAGCTGAACAAGATGCATAGCTAAATGAAGACAAATGCACTCTTAATGCACAAGTCAATGGACAAACCATCCTGATGATGGTTCACCAGCACAGCCATCTACTGTTCACCCTGCAGCAGTGGTCCTTCGTTGGATGATGGTTCCAGTCTCTGGGGAAATGTAAAAACCCCAGTGTCCACACTGTTCTCCTATCAATTAAAACAAAAACTCTCAGGTGGGTATCCAGGCACCATATTTTGTAAAACATCCCTGGTGATTCCAGACTTGAGAACCAGGCAGCACACAATAAAAACTGAGTGAAGTAAATTTAAGGGCATATGGGGGCAGGCTTTGGCCCAGCAGTTATGATAGAGGTTAGGATGCCAGCATCTCGCCTGGGAGTAATTGGATTCCAAACCCAACTCCAGTTCTTGCCTCCAGCTTCCTGCTAATGTGGACCCTGGGAAGCAGTGATGATGGTTCAAGTAGTTGAGTTCATACCACCCACACCTAACACTTCCTGGACTGAGTTCCTGTGGGCATTCAGGAAATGAACCAGCAGATGGGACAGCTCACTTGCTCGCTTTCTCTCATAAATAAATATTTTAAAAAATTTATTTGAGGGGCCAATATTGTGGCACAGCAGGTGTCTGCAATGCCAGCATCCCACATGGGCGCTGGTTCAAGTCCTGGCTGCTCCACTTCCAATCCAGCTCTCTGCTAATGGCCTGGGAAGTGCTGGAGGATGGTCCAAGTGTCTGGGTCCCTGGCACCCATATGGGATACCTGGATGAAATTCCTGCCTCCTGGCTTCAGCCTGGCTCAGCTCTGGTTCTTGGAGCAACTTGGGGAGTGAACCAGCACATGGAAGGCCTCTCTCTCTCTGTATTTGCCTCTCTCTGTAACACTGACTTTTGAATAAATGAATCTTTAAAAAAATAAAAACAATTTGAGGGCATATTATATAAAACAAAATCAATCATTGCATGCACAGTAGGAAAGATGCAATTCTTTTTATGTTTCCAATTTTTAAAGTAAATAGAATTTTGAGCTTCCTTATTTATAGCAGACAGGTTTGGGAGTTAGTGTTAACCTACATTATGTTTCATTTAATACCCACGGCTTAAATGCTGCTTGCTGTGGACCCGGCAATAGCAAAAGCACTCTCAAGAACTTCCCACTTTGAAAAACCTTATTCCTTTGTGTACATGTCACTAAACGTTAAAAAAAAAAATGACCATCTCCACGGAGATGGGGGGAAAGTTGTGTGTGATGATTCAAGCCATGGGACAGGGCAACCCTAGGGAACACCTGTGACTAGGCCCAGGATCGGCACCCACTCACCATTGGGAAGCCAGTTCTGTGCTTCTGCCATGGGCAGGAAGGAGTAATCCTGTGACTAACAGGCATGGACTGAAATGACAAAGCCTGGGACTGAACACACTCCTAAAATCTGCTATTTCTCAACAAGTTTGTCCATAGTCATACCAAAAATCGCTAAGTGCAGTGACCAGTTCCAAGAGAGATGCCCCTCCCTGAGCCTTGTCAGCCTTATGTGAAGATGGTAACAAAATACACTGAAGTTCTGGCAACTTTGCCTTGATTGGGCAGAACTCAATTAATAAACCCCAACTGTTCCAAATTAATGTTTAATTCTGATTCCACAAAAGTATTTCAAAATTGTAATAACAACCAACTCGGGTTTAAAGACAACCTGTCTCATACACAGATCCATAGATTCTAAGATGCACCGACATAAAAGAGCCAGCCAACCTGTGGAATATTTCTCTCACGGAGAGCTCTCCCTGGCATTCCTAACATGAGCCGGAGCACAGTGATCTAGGATAGCTACAATGAAGCCCCCATGGGAACCTGCAGGAGCTGAAGGAGAACTTTAAGCCAATTTAGGAGGAAGCATTGATAAGGGGACAGGAACAAAGAGTCCCCAAAGCTTTGCGGACTGGCTGTAGGAAATAAATATGAAAAGCAGTCACTCTTCAGGGTGACACTGCCTGGGGAGTATGCTCATTTACCAAACAGAAATCGATAGAGCTGCCAAGCTAGGTCTCCCATCCGCAGCCCTGCTCCTCCAGGGCACAAACACAGGGATAAAGTAGGAATCAGAAATTGTTCCCATTATCCTTAAGAGGCTGCACCTGCTTTTAAAACATTTCTCTGTGTGTGATGCCATGGCATCTGCCTGACAATGCGAAGGCTGCCCAAGTGTTTTGGGAGAAAAATTAAAATAAGCATCTGCTAATAATAATTCCATTTCATCCTCAACAGTTTCATTTTGGGCTCATGAGGAAAAAGGCACACGGTGGAGAGAGTAAAACTACCTTCACAACTGTGCAGAAAAACACATTTCAGAAGATAGCTCTATAAATAGATGTGCTTCTGTATGCAAACTGTAAACATAAAACCATCAGGCTGCAATTAAAACCGGAGCCCCCATGTAAACTTACCTGATGGGTAAAGTCCTATCCAAATACGCTTGCAGTCGCGCTTACAGTCAGTAGAGACCTCCTTTTCCCAGCTGCATAGTAAGGCAACAACACCCTCAACTAAATTTGACTGCTCTCAGTCTCATCTTTCATCAGAAGCAATAGTTTGCAGCTTCATTCAGAAGCAGACTTAGAATATGCACAGCAACAGCCACGGAAGGGATCTAAGTTAAACCCCACACGGCCGCTCCAAGAAAACAGCAACATCAACAAGGAAGAAAACACAGCAGTTCTTCCAGAGAGGGGTTGTTTCTAAGCTGCGTTTCCCAAGCCAGCCCCCTTTCAAGCAGAAACATGTCAGTGATGAAAGAGGATCTTACCTGAGCTGATCATACTGTGCATTCTCTGCTGAGCCAAGAGCTGCTCTCGTCCAGCCACCCCATCTGAGGAAAAACAGGAATCACGCTCGTAAATTGTCTGCAGCATATTCCAATCACTCTCACTTCAGCTGCATGCAAGAATCATCACTGCTCAGCGCACCGGCCCCAGGAGCTCCCCTGGCTGGTCCTCCCTCCTCCCCGAGCGAGGCGAAGCGGCAGAGGATCAACTTCGACAGCGATTTCCTTTCTGCTCAGACGGACACACACTTTTACAAAGCCCTGAACACTTCCCCGCGCTACCAACCTGTGTGCAGGGCAGAAAGGACAGGGTGGATGTCACTTTAAGGTTATCCTGGAAACAAAAAGCAGGTGGGAAATAGGAATGTGCTTCGGGGTGATTTCTTTGTCAGAATTAAGTAGGAAAAAAAAATATGAACTCTCCCCACGAGAAAAAGAAACCAATTAAACCTGGCTTAGAGTTCTTCAGGCTGTAGGGTATCCTTGCAAGAACCTGCAGCCCTGCAAGAGGATCCAGCCGTGCCCTTCTCCTATCTGCTGTGGCTCTCTCTTCCCCGGTTCTCAGCCTCTCTCAGCTCAAGTTGGCGAAAGCTAGTGATAATCCATTTGCATATGAATCAACAACAGCATGGCCCACAGGCACAGAAATAGAACAATGGTCGGCCTGAGCCAAAAATAGGTCAAGCATGGCCGAGTGATTGGAGCCTGCATTAATGCATTTAAAAATACCCCAGCAAACCCAGCTGTCCAGCCTCTATCTTTCAAACCATAATTCTCTATTGCAAGGCCTTAACAGCAATTAACTCTTTCCTCCCTTGGGCTTGCTCTGCACAGTGTGTTTCCATCCTAGCAGTTCACTCCTGAAGCAAGGAAGGCAGGGAAAAAAAAATTAAGAATCATAATTCTAAGAGGGCAAATGCACATACATTTCATTTCATTTTATTTTTGTAGTGTGTGTTTTTGGAAGAGGAGAGAAGTGCAGAGCTCTGTATTGGTTCTAAAATAATACTGGAAGCTTTTGCTCATGATGTGGTTTCTGCCTCACCCACGCACAGCAATCCTGGTGTTCTATTTTTGTTGCCTGTTTCTCTGGCTACACTGCAGTTGGCTGTAGCTCTAGAAGCTTTTCTGCCTTCTAGTTTCAGCACTGACAGGAGATTTAGTAGAGGTAGTTTCGGAAAACAAGCACACCCCAGGATAAAATCTGTATGAAGGACTGGCTTGATTTTTCACTTGCCATTTATGCAATGCAATTTGTCCATTGCCACAAATCCCACTGTGGCCTTTGTACTACCTATCAATTTTATTGCATCCAGTTGCTCCTCTATCTTGAAAAGGGTGAAGGGTTAGTCCTCAAAATTCACCCCCCCCTTCAGCCTCTCAGGCTAAATCCAATTTACATGCAAAATTAAAAACAAACAAAAGAACAGGCTAGTATTTTCTTATAATACATTCATATGGATGCAGAATTACTGAATACTATGCACCTGTCGATCAATGAACAAATAAGGTCAGTAACCAACTATGAATGTTCTGTGTTCATCTGTAGTGGTCACCTTGAATACAGACCTGACTTTTTATAGTCTCAGGCCAGCACACATTATGACATAAACAAACTACAGTAGATAGTACCCAAGTTCTATGTGTCTCTGGTATACATTTACAGCCTCACGGTCTGTGTGAGAAATAAATTCCTAGGATGGGATCTAGCATCTTTCCACAACCAAGGACAACCCCCAAGGTGGTAGATCCACTGGTCAGGGGGGTTGTTTTCCCTTTTCTAAACTTGATCAGCAAGGACAAAGTGATACCGAAGGCATCACTGGCAACAGTGAAGGAAGGGGGTAAGCAGATTGTTGCAAGGTTCCCAGAGCAGGTGGAGAAATCCTGGTCAGCCCCAGAATGTGGGGTAGGAGGAAGGGAACAGACACAGGAAGGGGAGAAACACGTTAAATCACTCATCAGAGATCCCACTGCTGAACTGCTCTTCTTTCGTAGATTAATTCCTATTGAACACACTACTTGAAAGACCATATCTGGATAAACATTTGTAAGTAGCTATCTCAAACTGCATTTGACTTAAGCTAAACAAAATAACTATGTTTTGCCAGTTGAAAAAAAATTATCTCATTTGATATTACAAATAAACTTCTGATTAGGAGGTTTGTGTCTAAATGTCAAGGGTTGGAAAGGGTGTGGGTCTACATTTCCCTTGGGGATGGTGCACTTCTGTGGTTAGCATTCATAGCCTTTCAGACCTTGGAAGAAATTGAGAGGTTCAGATGGAACTAAGGCTTTACACCAAGGCCCTGGGGTTCCTAGGGGTAGCCTCAGTTTCCCCCAGAAGAGGTTCCCCCACCCACCCAGGGCAGCTCTTTCTTTCTCTGCACTTAAATTTGCAGATGGAAGATTGCCTTTCAGCAATGACTTTCTTTTTCCTACCAAACATTTATTTAAAAACTTTTTTTAAAAAAATTAAGCATTTTTGACAAATCAAGAACATATATTTTTAGGGAATATAATTTGATGATTTGATATGCATACATACTGTGGAATAATCATCACAATCAAATTTCTTATCCATCATTTCAGTCAGTTATCAGATCCACTTCTTTCCTCCTCTCTCTCTCCTACAATCTCTCTCTGCACTACAAAACAATGACTTAATTCTATTAAGAAAAAACACAAATGAAATCCACTCATCTAGTCCAAACTAGCTCCCTGTTTTATAAATGAGAAACTGAAGAGATTTGCTGATGGTTATGAAAAATCACAAAAGCCCTCACTAATGGAGTTAGGCCTAACAGACTAGTTTAATTAAAAATACAGATTTACCATTCATGTTCCCCAGTCCCCCCTTCTTGTTCCTTTATAGAATGATCCAATGATTATGTGAGGTATTTGGAATAAATTTTAATATGATCTACTGATGAGAAATAGAACCATCCTTGGTTTCAGAGTAGTTTTTGAGAGAATATACAAAGATTGTGATAAACATACAAGGATAACTAAATCACAATAGTGATATAACTATACATCTTCAGTCATTTCACATTCAAATTACACATTCAAACCACAGTTGACAGGAAGAGTCCCAATGCTTTTATATTTATAAACAAAAATAAAGTAAAATAAAATAAAATATCAGAAAAGGGTGTTAACTATTATCTGATTTCTCAGACTTTCCAAGAAAAGGAATTCTACATAAAATGGTATAAATAATGTGTCTTTGGACCAGCCTTGTGGCACAGGGGATGAAGCAGCTACTTGTAACACCAGCATCCCATTTCAGAGTGAGTATCTGTTCCAGTCTGGGCTGCTCCACTTTTCATCCAGCTCCCTGCTATGGGATTGGGAAAGCAGTGTAGGATGGTCCAAGCATGTAGGTCTCTGGCACCCATGTGGGAGACCAGCATGGAGTTCTTGGCTTTAGCTTTGCCAGGTCTGGCTGTTGCAGCCATTTGAAGAGTGAACGAGTTCATGGAACATCAATCTCTCCCTCTCTCTCTGCCTTTCAAGTAAATAAATATTTTAAATAATTTAAAAAGTTAAACAATAATATGTCTTTTTCATTTAAAACAAGTTATTTCACTAAAGTTTTTTTATATTTTATTGCATTATTTCAGCAATTTTTTCATTAGCAGATTTGCTTTTCATTTAACTCTAGATCGGAAAACCTTATTTTGAGCAAAAAGGAATTGGACACAACATAAAATATGTCACACTTGTTTCTGGAAAGAAAAATAAACAACATAAAACAACTAGTAAGCATAATGATGACCACATTTCCATTATTCAAGAACTTCGATATTAAGAATGTGGAGTCAATTCTTTTCACATCATCCCAATGGCCTTGGTAAAGAAATGTGACCAGGTTTCTTTTGGGACAATTATAAAATCAACTTTACTGATTTGGGGGGAAATATACTTTACAGAAACAATAACAAGCTAATACTATACAAATTTCAGGAGAGAACAGATAAGTACTTTTAAAATCTCAATCTAGGCCGGCACTGCAACTCACTTGGCTAATCCTCCGCCTGCAGCACTGGCACCCCGGGTTCTAGTCCCGGTCAGGGCGCCAGATTCTGTCCCGGTTGCTCCTCTTCCAGTCTAGCTCTCTGCTGTGGCCTGGGAAGGCAGTGGAGGATGGTGCAAGTCCTTGGGCCCTGCACCTGCCTGGAAGACCAGGAGGAACAACCTGGCTCCTGGCTTTGGATCAGTGCAGTGCGCCAGCCGTAACGGCCATTTGGGGGGTGAACCAACGGAAGGAAGACCTTTCTCTCTCTCTCGCTCACTAACTCTGCCTGTCCAAAAAAAAAAAAAAAAAAAAAAACCCTCAATTTAATAAGCATTTTTGAAATTGACTTACCTATATTTTATATTCATACAGGTGAAAGAAAAAGTAAAAAAGGTTAAAAAAAAACAAAACCAGGCAGTCAGCTTAAAATGAAAGAGGGAATAAAATGCTATTACAAAAATTTTTATTCAAATTTATGGTAATTCTCCTTTTTATGCAGGTCAATACAAAGAGACTTCAAAAAGTTAAAGGAAAATTCATATTATGAAACATTATGCATAGATTTCCAATTTTCTTGCTTCAAAACAAACTTATCTTTTAATTAGTCTTTCCCACAAACTTTTTGAAGTACCCACATAAAACAAAACATGTTTAAAAAGCCTATTCCAGAAGCATCTTCAGACCTCCAGCTCACAATGACCCTTTCTAAAATCAGTCAAATGAAATCGGCTTTCAAAACGTTCATGGAAATGCATATTATGAGAGAGGGAAGGGAGTGAAGTTCAAAACATTTCTGAACCACAATACATATTTTAATCTCATTTTTTCCTGGACTTTTTGAAGTAGCCTTGCAGTTGATAACTGAAGACACCTTGGAGACAAGCAAGGAGGGTGGTGGGACCCGCTTTCTTCTACAACAGTAATGCACCCTGGATTCAGTGGTAGGCACACACTTTTCCAGGGGTACCAAATCCTATGATTCCGGAACATGAGATGTAAAACTTGCTTACCTGAAATACTGAAA